GGGTTTAGGGTTTGGGGTTGATACTAACATCCGAAACCACCTACAGAACCTTATACCTGCAGCATTGTTACATGATAGTGTACGTCAGTCATGGGAAATGTTTTAGAAGCAACAGCATCACCTCCTCTGATTGGGTGGCAGTTTCTCGACATTATGGGTACCCCTTTGGGCAGGTCCCGATCAAAAGGCTGCTACAGCAGGGGATCCCATTTTTGAGATCTGCCCATTGTTGAGGGAACAGTCTACTACTGTTGCTAATGCATAGAGGTTGTTCTGGAAGAGTTCACAATGAACTATTCAGGCTTCTACTTGAATCGTTCGTCCGTTTCCGCATTTACTGTGCAGAAAGGAGTATCCATCTTGCCGGGGTGTATTGTATCGCGTCTTTGTAACTGTAGGAATAAATGTGATGGTAGCCGATCGAAATATGCGTTGACCTTGTCAGGACTGCCAGGACTGCAATTTGTGGATTCTCCTTCTCGTTCTCGTTAATGTTGCCGTTCTTCTTCCTTCCGGAGGCTATTTGCCTGGAAAGAGAGCACAAAAGAGCTTGAACACTAAAAGCCCTTATCTTCAAAAACCCGAGACCCCGTGCCGTCATGCATTTGTTGGAGCTGAAGTTTGACAGACCCATTGATATGTTCCCGGTATCCCCTATTTTTCATCTGTTGGGAAGAGGGTAGCCTCCTACAGGGCCCAAAACCCTCTAGGCCCCTAACCCACCATATGGTAGTTTCGATTTTCTTTTCCATTCTCCCTATAGAACCCCCAAATCATATAATTACACCCTCCACATTCTATCTCCCCCTCATGCCCGAAACTTGCCAAGGGCAAACGTAGCACATACCCAGAATGCCCAACCTCAACCCTTCACCCAAGACCCTCAACAAGACGCCCCAACCCTCAAGGGTTTCAGGCTTCTACCCCTAGGGTTGTACGCCTTGGTTTTGGGATCTTTTTAAGAGACTCTAGGGGACTACATTGGCTCATATAAGGGCTATATTAAGGCCATATTGGCGAAAACCTTTTAGGGGTACGACCTTAGGGGTACAGCCCATGAACCCTTGAAATCTCGAAGCCCAACACTCTCCACAAAACTCCACCCGAAGCCACAAACCCTAAGCCCTGAACCCCCCAAGCCCTAAAAGGGTAAAAGGGTTTAGGGTTTAGGGTAAACCCTCTAAACCCCAAAACCTCAAAAAACGGGTAAGGCTCTGGGTGTTCTGGAGCAAGCCCGTTTTGTGCAGACCCCACTCGAATGCGGGCTTCTCAGGATGAAATGCAGAAGCGAAAATTGGATGCTGACCTTGAGGGTTTAAAGCTTAGGATTTGGGGGATTAGGGTTTAGGGTTAGGGTTTAGGGTTCAGTTTGGGGTTTGGGATTTCAGCTTTAGGGTTTTGGGCTTAAGGTTGTAATCTTCTGGGTTGCTGTTCAGGAACTTAAACTAAGTTATCACGATATGAGTATATAAGGGATAGTAGGATTTCATGATTATACTGACCTAATTTAAGTTCCTTAACAACAACCCAGTATTGTACTGTAATATTATAACACTAGAACACTATTACACTGCTATGCTATCATACTATGGTGTTGTACCATCATATTAGTATACTTTTATACTCCTACTAGTAGCTTGATTATTACTCCAGTTCTACAATGACTGGGTTTCAGGCTTTTTGAGGGTATAGGGCAATTCGGGACATAGGGATTTAGGCGTTTAGGGCTTGAGGAATTTTGGGCTTTAGGTCTGAGGCTCAGGGCTTGGGGTAAAGGGCTTAAGGGTTCGGGCATTAGAAATTAGGATTGACGGATTAAGGGCTTAGGGTTTAGGTTGGAGGCTTAGGAGCTTAGGGGCTTAGGGGCCAATGCCTTATCTCGACACATGCAAAACCGTAAAGCCTGAACCCTTGCCCATAAAACCGTATAAACCCTATTCACCCTAAACACTATATACCCTAAACCCTAAAACCCTACAATCCTAAACCCTAAAACCCTAAACCCTGAACCCTGAAAGTCAGCTTCCAGCCGGGTACCCACCCCTACCAGACAAACCAGATTGCCCGTATACGTGGGCAGCCATAAGGGCTGAAATAACTAGAATAGGGCTTGGGGTTCAGGGTTTAGGGTTGAGGGCTTAGGGTTCAGGGTTTAGGGCTCAGGGCTTAGGGCTCAGGGCTTAGGGTTCACGGGTTAGGGTGTAGGATTTAGGGTTGGGGTTTGGGGTCTACAGTCTACTTTAGATTCTATAGATAATCAAGGATGATTCGGGGATTGTATCGGTAGTTCTTCAAGCTCGTAGAAGAGACTTGTTTGGAATCTGAGTTGCTGGGCCAGCACCGTCAAGTTTCTGGCAGCCAGAGAATCTAGATTGGGTCAGCAGTTAAGGAAGAAATTACGATGAATCGACATGCATTTTGGAATAGATGTGCAGCCAAGCCTACTTCTGATCCAAGAGAAATTGGGAGGAGATGGAGAATGCAGCAGGCGTTCCACAGGATCGCCTTCATAGTGATAATAATGATAGTAGTCATACTAATAGTAGTAATAATAGTTGTAATAATAGTAATAGAATTGTACTAATAGTAGGAATAGTAGTAACAGCTCAATGGCCCTGAGAAGCAAAGCTTCGGGCTTAGGAGTTCAGGCCTTAGGGGTTCGGGCTCGATGTTTCGGACTTAGGGTTTAGGCTTTAGGCTACCCCCCCCCTAGGTTGGCCCTAAATTAAAGCTAACTAAGGGGGAACCTAGGGGGGGTAGTATAGAGCAAGGGAATGCACTTGGGGCCTCTGATAGGGCCACGTTCCTTTCGGATGTCGAGGTCAGGGTTGAGGGTTTAGGGCGCAGTGAGCTAAGGTTATGAGTCTCCTTGGTACCCTGATATCTCTTGTAATGTAGAGCCCGACTCTTCCAGCAGGCCCTGCTCGTTAGCACATGTCCCAAAAATACAAGGTTGTCGAACCCTGAACCTGAAAAGGAATTATGAAAGAACTCTACCTCTTCAAATTATGAAAATCTGCAATAATCTAATGATTCAGAACCCTACACTCTAAACTCCTACATATCCAAAACATCTGTAGAAAAAAACAAATCCGTTTGATTTCCGCTTTCTCGTCCATACAATTCGGAAGTATTAAAGCCCTGCAAACCCTAAACCCTAAACCCCTCAGCTCTCTGTGGTAACCCCTTTCAAGCAGCCCTGAGTCTCCAGCCCTGAACCCTAAACTGGGTTGTTCTTAGGGAACTTAACTTGAGTCACTATATTGGGAAAACCATATTCATTACCAGATATATATATATATATACACCCATTATGGTAGCTTAGTTTAAGTTCCTTAAAGGCAACCCAGTGAACCCTTTCTCCCAATCTCCAGCCCTATTCCTAACCCTAAACCCTAAACCTATTCCTAAGTGATTGATAGCAGTCCCAGCCGCGACCTTGGAACAGCGCAACGAACTCCTCTCCGCTTTACGCGGTTTAGGGCTTATGGTTTAGGGTTTAGGGTCTCCGCTTTACAGTTTTACTTTGGGTACGATCCCTAATATAGACTGGGGCAGTACCCAAGTTTTACTCTTTGTTGGGACGGTTCTTTTCCACGGAGTCTTTTTCGTGATTTAGAGGTTTCCCATAATTAGGGGTACCTTTTTTGCAGGGGTCGCCATGGTAAGGATCATAGTTTGCGGGGGGTCTACTTTGGGTTTGGGAACCTACCATTTAAGGTTTAAGATGGCTTGAGGTTTCCGATTTCGAGTCAGGGTTTCAGAGGCGACCTCAAAAACGTAGCATTTTGCCCCATTAAACCTACACCCTAGAGCCCCACGCTATATTACTACAATTAACAATGCTATTCATACAATAATGAATGTTACTACAAGATCGTTACTACCTTCCGCGCACGGCAACTCCTGCCCCTTGCGGTCCACAGCCGTTGCAACGATATCAAACTTGTCGCGCAAAGCCTCTGCCAAAGTCAGGCTGGCTTCTGGGCGGTATAGGGTTTAGGGTCATTGGAACTTATAGGGGTTATAAACTCATAGGGTTTATATGGGGTTATGTAGGGGTACATAGAGCCATATAAGGTTTAGGATTTTCGAACATTAGGGGTACCTCTTTGGGGGGCTCCCATAGTAAGGGCCATATTATTTTGGGTCTATATTGGGGTTCCCCTATTTAAGGAAACTACCATATACTTGTGTAGCGGAAAATGGTGTTCTTCCGTCTAAGATTCTTGGGTTGAGGGTATGGGGTGTGAGTGTCTATTTTTGTTCTTCCTTACACTCGAAGAGAAGGAAGCCCACAAAAGGCGGTCTGACGTCAAGCCTCGTACACTCTCAGCCCCAAACCTTGAAACTTGAACTTCAAACAAACCTCAAACAGTACTTTCCATAATAGAGGGGAGGGGCAATATAGACCCCAAAATATAAGGACTCTCAAAATGATACCACTAATTTTGGGAAACCCCCCAAAACCCTGTATGTTTCTGCAGCCATCATCTGCCACCCTTGCACACCCCCCTTGCCTTGAACCTCTCGAAGGTCTCTGGGAAGATGCCCCAGAGGTGGTGGTGGAAGGTCAGTGGCGCCTCTTGAAGCCACTGGCGATAAGTCGTGGATCCTGCAGCTCATTGGTGTCAGCAGCGATTGCCGGACACGGAATAAATGCCCTAAACCCTAAATCCTAAACCCTGAACCCTAAACGCTGTTAATCCCCACTGGGAAAATAGTTTTCACGTCCTCTTTCATTCCCTACAACTTTAACACTTGCAGCAACCGACAGGGAAGGGCCATGGCCCAGAAGGCGGCGAATCTCAAGTTGCAGGGCTCTCTCAAAAGGTCAGAACAAAAACAACAATACAAGACATATTGATAACAGAAAATCACAAAAGCAATAATAATAACAACAATAAGGGTAATGATATTAAAATAATACGAAAATCCTAGCAATGATAGTAACAATTGTTGAAATAGCAATAGTACTGAGAAAAGCATTAATAATAATCATACTCACAATGGTTATGAAAGTCGCAATAGAAATGAGTCTACAAGGATCCTCCTGACTTCGCATCTTCCCCCCTCTATACTGCACCCTCGTTAAATTAAGGTTACTTATGAATAGTTGGGGTTTTCCCAAAATTATTGGGGTCCCTATAAGGAATATAGTATTTTGGGGTCTATATTGGGATCCCCTATTGACGAAAACCACCAATTAGCTTTAACAAAAGCAAACTCAGCAAGAACCTTCCCTGGCGTGGTTAGTATAGGAGGGGGTAGTAGGGGAACCCATCACATTATGGAGATTTCCTACGGAACACAGGCCCCATAGTAAATAGAAGGCCTCCCGGGCCAACAACTCTGATCGAGGATTCGCTTCCTACACGTTTCCCTGACCAGAGGTTGCTGGAAAAGAATACCACATGTCAGGCTAATGCATTTCATTCAAAGGAAGTGGGAGCCCAACAACTTCACGCATCTCCAGATGGGGCAAGAGCGTAAGTATAGTAATTTTCATTTTCTTTTCCATTATCCCAATATATATCCTATTACACTACAGTAGTTTCCATTCTATTTTCCATTATCCCAATATAAACCCTATTACACGATAGTTCTTTCCATTTTCTTTCCCATTCTCCCAATATGAAGCACCAAGCCCTGGCTCAATCCCGCTTGCAGTCTCAGTCGTTTGAAATGGGGAATCTCATGACCAATGTTTGCGTACCATTCCTGCAAAGGTTATGACTGTGACTACTTTAGTTGTCATGGACACTACCTAGCCCTAAACCCTAAACCCTACATGTCAGAAGGCCTGTCCTGGAAACAGAGTCGGATCGAAGAGGTGCCTCTCCGCCTCAGGCATTGGCATAGGGTATAGGTCTTGACGGGGGGCAGGGATTGATGGGTTCTGGTTTTAAAGGGTTCTGTATTAAGGGTGTACTACTACTACTCCTTTTAAGTACTACTACTACTACTACTACTCCTCCTACTACTACTCCTACTACTACTCCTACTACTACTCCTACTACTCCTACTACTACTACTACTACAACCACTACTGGTGCTATTTGGCCTCCCCTGCAATCTGAGAAAACCCTGTCAGAGTGGGCACACCATGTCATAAAGACAGGGTCCAAAATAAATCTCCACTGTCTGGCCAACGACACTGACCAATGCACATCGCACGCGGACTCTGATCATTGCCCGACGTGGCTGTTCCCTTTCCCCGCGGTCTCTAGACCAAAGCTGGGGCGTGCATTGGCTTAAGAGCCTTAGCTCTATGGGTCACCTGAGCCTGTGCATTCAGGAAGGGGAAACATCCCTTCTTGTGGATTGCAGTAGAGTCCAAGAACTTTAGGAGGGCCTCATCTACAACAGGTCTCCATGCATGCTCTGTAACCTTACGCGTAGAGAGCGCATGGGCGATATCGGTATAGTCTTCAACGGACCTTTCCTCCGTGTGGCCGGAGGTAACTGACGGATCCTTCACGAAGCAGGACTTAAGGAAGTGACTAAAGTCGGCTTCCTCTTCGTTGGAAGAGCCTGCCTCAATTTCAAACGCAATGTCGACCGAGTTGGGCTGGTCGTCGACCTTAGGCTCTCGCCAGGCTCCTTCATAGCAGACATAGGTACACCTATCTGCCCTAGTAGGGACCAAACCACAGGCTCTACTGAACTTGTCAAGGCTAGGGAGAGCTTTCGAAAATGGAGTCTCCTCTTTGCAAATCCAGGACGTTCATGCCGGGATTTATTTCCAGGCTACGACAAGGCTGTTAAGGGGTAAGAAGATCACACAGTACCTGTAGCTTCCAGACAGTGCATGCAATTCGCTTTAATGGGGTCTTCCCATGTGAAGTGTGTATTTGGGCCCCCTTTTCTCAAGGTGGACATATGTATCTACATATAGATCCACAACCCGATGGGAAGGACCTCGTGCAAACCACAATATTTGAGCCATTCTAAGCTCCTAGCATCCCCTTTAATGACCCCTATCACAGTCTCCTTCCTGATCCCTATATAACCTTCCTTTACGGAGCTTAGACTCTAGACCCATTTGGGGTGCAGGATTGAGGGAACCTTTGGGAGGGCCTTGAACTGCCAGCATTTCGATCCACACCCATCTCACGAAGGTTTGGTGCTCCCCTTCTTTTGCAGACAAGCAAACCCGGCAACGTCTTCAAGACTTGGCTGAGTCATGGGTCGTAACCTTTGTGAGGAATGTTGTAGTTGTAGGGTCGGTGCCCTTCCAGTGCTTTGATGGGGGCGTATGTGAAGATTGCACAGGGATCCACTGCCCTGCTCCTGCTTGAGGGCGACCCTACACCCTTAAGATCCAAATCCTGTGCCTTTCCCGTCAGATGCAGCGGCAGCGCAAGGTTGTCTGCAAAAGTCCCTAGGCTGAAGAGGTCAATATGCTTCAGGGATTTAGGTGTAGGGTTTAGGGATGACGGTTTGAGGATTCAGGTGTGGGGTTTAAGGATTGGAGCATACAATTTCTCAAACCAGGGGTTCCCTTACAAGCACCATGGATGTATAGGAATTACAGGACTCATAAGGGGACTACTACAAGCCTCGGAGATTTGGGATGATTAAAACCCAAGCCCTGAACCGTACGCATTGAATACGGAAGGGTTACCCTAAACCCTAAACCCGAAGTTCAAAGTGTGCACAATGAAGGTGCACGTCAGGCCTACCTCAACGCAAACCAGATCTACTAGGTTTCCTGGGGTTAGGAATTAGGGTTTAGGGTGTAGGGTTGGTTTCCGACATCAAGAAATCCTTCATGGGAGTCCCTAGGATTGAGATTATGGAAAATGAGGGTCTAGATTGGGCACCCGTAAGTAGCTAGAATATGGAGTATATGGGGATCTTATCATAAAATACCCAAAGCTGTATTCTATCTACTTAAGGGGGACTATAGACTGGGCCACCTATTTATGGAAACCCTCGCTTAGTGGGTTCCCCAAACTGTCGTTTCATGCACAGGGCTTTGAAGACCAGCGACGCACTGGGTTCTTATGGCTTCACCAGGTAGTTAGCTAACACGTACCAGCGAAGATCCTGCAAAAGCCAATGTTCAAACGATTACCTAGAATTCTGGGAAAGTACAGTAAAACCAGCCACATAGGGGGTTTCCCAAAATTAGGGGTACCTTTCTGGGGGTCCCCATAATAAGGGTCATGGCATATTGGGGTCTATATGTGGGTCCCCTATTCTGGGGAACTATCAGACATCTTCGTCCGAGCCCCAGGGCCAGAAAAGACGGACGAACAACTGGAGCTCTGAACCCTAAACCCTAAACCCTAAACAGAAGAGGCATTTGGTGTTTTAAACCTAGATCAGGGCTTCCTTCCATAAATCTCATCCCAGGGACTACACTTGACTCATCAAAACTTCTGGGGGACATATCAGGACAGACAAGGAATGCTAACAGCCCTTAAGCCCTACACCATAAACCTCAAAACCTAAACCCCAAACCTTAAACCCTAAGCCCTCGACCCTAAACCCTTCTGGAGGAGTCCAGGGGGATAAGTTTGAGAACCTGAGGGATAGGATTGAGCCCCTCCCTTTTATTCTATAATGGGACCACTGGGGTTACATAGGGGTAATGTAACAGAAAATGGAAGCTATTATGATGGCGTGATATAGGGTTTAGGGTTTAGGGATAATGGAAAGGATTTCGGAAACTACTACATTATAATAGGAATATATATTGGGACATTCTTAATCTTCTAGATCAGGCTGAACTTTCTATACCTTAGGAGGACCCCCCACCCTGTAATAGTGGTATAATAGCAATTAAGAGGACCCGAATATAATCCCTATCATCCCTTATAGTCACTATTACTGGGTGGGGGGTCCAGCTAATCTATACCTCTTGGTCCACGAGTTGAGGATCCTACCGTTCACAGTGTCAGGTTTCATACTCTGGACACTAGACCCTAAACTCCCCAAACCCTAAACACTTAAAGCCTAAAGCCGTGTTGTTGCACAACTGCTAGATGGGTAGCTTGCCTAAATAAGGAGACCCCAATGTAGGCCCCAAAATACTAGAATCAACGCCCAATTTTGGGAAACCCCAAGATCAGGCCAGTCCACTATTTAGGAACTCGCCATACACCGCGCCAGTGGCCATCTGGGCCACGTCATGGATGCCGACCTCAACATTGAAGTTCTCTGGTGTATGATTCATATCCCTTGCATAACTCAGACTACTAACACGCGCATATATGTATATACTTTTTTGTGCGCGTGTGCATGTGTACATTCCTCTCATCTGTCCAAGTGGGTGACCTGCTGCTACAGCCTGTTGATGCAGAATTTCAGGGTCTAGATAAATCGTACGTGCAAGGCTTGGGGCAAGCGAAAGCTCCCTCCTACAAAGCAACATCTTTGAGTCCGTATGGGATGGTGGGCAAGGATCAGGATGCAGGAACTTCGTGCTCGGGCTGTATGGTGGGTTGTACCAGGGCTCCACATTTGAACTACGACCCATGCTGCGGAGTTAACTGGCAAAACAAGTATTCTGTCTACACCCTAAACCCTAAACCCTAAACCCTATACTAAGATTAAATTGCATCAACATACTATGCGTTTGGGAAGTCCTATGGATTGCTACGATGCACTGTGTCTTGACATGTCATACGATGATACCCCGGTTGCTGTGTAAAATGATCAAACTGTGGCTATAATTGGTTAACCCTTCCAAGAACCTCTACTTCAGAGTGGGGAGGGCGACAAATGAAGAAACTCAGCCCTTAAGGAACCTGCAGATGCTCAGATGCTTGTAGCAAACTTTTATCCTCTAGCTAGACCTATACATCCTGCATCTGGAATACAGCCACAACTTTTCAACCCACAGAATAGGCAGCGGGCCGCAATCTTTCACCCAAACCGTTCAAGGGCCCACACCAACACAAGCTGTCTACGATACTTTCTGTGTTTTGTGCTGGCAAGAAACATACCCCTGATAATTGCAAAAGCCTTACGAAGTTCATCAAGAACATGAGAAACACGTTTCAGGTTCTTTGGTTTCGAAGTCCGTGGCCTGAAAAATTAGCTAGGGAATTCCTTCATGCATCCCGAAATCTGCTTAACGCTTGACCGGCTCAAAAGTCAAGAGGCTCAACTGGAACTGCCACAACCCTGTGCACATCTTGGGTCCTGCCCCCACCCATTTACAGTCAATAATAGGGGTCATACTAAGGGCTCGAAACTGTTGTATTTTATATATTCTTCAACTGTCAATGAATGAGGGCAGTATCCAATGCACATCTACTCCGCCGACACCCAAAACCCTAAACCCAAAACCCTAAACCCTATTGTGAACTGCAAAGACATCCCCGAGCCCAACATTTGAAGGCATCGGGGAATGGATCACCAGACCTAGACCCTGGATGCTAGAACCTAGCTCAGTCGGGGGGCACAAGTGGCCCAAAGGGGAAAGACCTCGCCGGTCTTTGCCAGCTCAAGTACCTTAGTACTGGTGAGGTTTTGTTACAGGCTTAGGGGTTGGGGTGTGGAATTCAGTGGTTTGATGGTCTAGGGTGGGGGGCTTGGTGGGAGTTGGGGGGTTTTGCCTGCATTGAGGCGGCTTCCGGGCTTGAGCTTCAAAGCTCTTGTGCGCTTGCGCCACCCCTCAACCAAGGAGCAGTACGGCATCTTATATAAATCTCCGGGGAGGGCCAGGCCGGTCAGGCCAGCGTTGTATGATTTAGATTCAAAGGCAGGCACCTGTAGCAGACACCTGTATGCCTCCCAAATCAAGCTAAAATGACAGTACCTTCGCAATATAAAATGCGCATACTGGTCCACGGCAGGGCACGTGGTCGTACAACTTCCGGGTGTGCTTCTCTGCGATGCCGTGCATTTTGAAGAAACCTGCACAGACATTTGAAAGTTGTTTCTTGCTGGCTGGTTGTCTGTAGGGAACGCAGGAACGGATTCCTATAGCAGCCCCTATGTAACCCCCCCTAGTCCAACTGCTAGATTTCTTTTGTCTTTTCCTCCCTACCAAGAAACTATAAGTCTTTGGCTACTGAGCTTGGAAGCTTAGAGAAGTGCTGGATTTGTTTTGTTTAAGTGCAGCTCTGTCAGGAGCATGCTTCCTCCTGGCTGAAATACGAAAATGAGTCAGTGACAGTTGCTGAAGGATGAAACCCGATGCAGCAATTTACCTCCTCACACTCACCTAGGCAATAGAAACTCAAGAATGTAAGCCAAAAACTTGTCGCAGGAGTTGAGATGAGGATTGCTAGGGCGGAGTTCATCTTGTAGGTGGAAACGGAAACTACCTCAAAATACTTCGGCAAATGGCAACTGCTCGAGACTCTCTCAGAACCGGCAGTATTTGCCAGAAGTGCACCTCGAAGCTATGAAGCCTAAACGCTGGAAATAAGTCCCAAGACCTGGTTTAGGTATCGCAAAATTAAGGAAGATTATCACCAATAATGGAGGAGAAAATGGAAAACAAAACGCAAACTGTGGTTACATAAGGGCTTGTGGGTTTAGGGCTTCCCAAAATCAAGGGTACTGTTTTGGGGGTCCTTATAACAGGGATTAGAATATTTTGGGATCTAGATTGGGGTCCCCCTATTTGGGGAGACTACCATGTAGGCCTCCAATCGTCATCGCGCCATTGACGCGTGAAAGTACGTAGTCAAATTCGGCGTCCTTACCCAAATCGTGGCATATGCACAGGTTCCAGGAAGGTATCGCATGACTCCAACCTAGCAAAAACATTTTAGAAACCACTTAACCCTTACCCCTAATCCCAAAATGCCCAAGCCCCATGAAGCAAGTTCAACCTTGCGATAAAGACCTGCTTTCGCAGCAAAATGAAGAACAGGAAGACTACCAAGGTCCAGATCCCCGAAATCCCGACAATTCTCACCATACTTCCCTGGCCTAGCCTTGGAAAAAGTTGTCCACCCTATACTCATACTGACCGCCGGTGGCTGTAGGGAGGAAGGACCCATGAACCTAGATGCCTCAAACCCTCCACCCTAAGCATGTGGGCCCCCTGTGCCCGTATCCTTGTCCTGCACCTACCTGCCACTTGAGGACTTACCCTGGAGCATAAAAATCGGGAAGCCTGCAGCTACAGTCTTGTAGGTCGGACCCGATCAGTCTTTCTTGCTTGGAAAAATCCCTGCGCAGGGCTAAGTACGTGTTCGGTGGGCAGTTATGCACTAGGAGGGTAAATAAGGGTGTAGTATTTTGGGGATTATAATTCTCAATATTGGGGGTTATATTGCGGTCATATTGGGGTTTAGGGTTTAAGGTATTTAGGGTTTATAAACTAAGTAGTCCAGCCCTCCCCACACCAGAGTGGAATCCCAGAAGCAGATCTACATAGACTACTTCCCTTTTCTAAGGATGTGTCCTGGGCTTCCGTGCGGGTGGGGGAAGGTATGCCCCCTAAACCCTAAACTCTAAGCCCTAAACCTGCATAACCCATTGTAGTTTCCATGTTCTTTTCCATCATCCCTATATAACCCCAATATATTATACCCCTACATACCCCTAGAATAGTGTAGTTTCCATTTCCTTTTCGATTATCCCTATATAGCCCCAACCCTAAACCCTAAACCCTATATAACCCCATTGTAGTAGTTTCCATTTCCTTTTCCATTATCCCTATATAACCCCAAAATATACCCCTAAACCCCTGAAGAAGTGCTGGGGCCGGCACTGGCATTCCGGGATAAAGAGGCACCACCTGGGCTCCGCCTTGCTCCAGCAAGTGCACCTCACGTAGGAATATATTATGTAGGGTTTAGGGTTTAGGGTTTAAGGTTTAGGGTTTAGGGTTGTGTGATAGGTAGAATGGAAAAGACTAAGGAAATTACTATATTATACGGTTATATAGGGGTATATTATATAGGGATTATATAGGGATACTGGAAAAGAAAATGGAAACTACTATATTGAAGGATTATATAGGGGTCTATTATATAGGGGTTATATAGGGACAATGGAAAAGAAATGGAAACTACCTTGTATAATAGGGTTATATAGGGATATATTATTTGGGGGTTATATAAGATAATGGAAAAGAAAATGGAAACTACTACATTATAATAGGGTTATATCAGGGTATATTATTTTGGGGTTATATAAGGATAATGGAAAAGAAACTGGAAACTACTACATTGTAATAGGGCTATATAGGGGTATAATATTTTGGGGTTATATAGGGAGAATGGAAAAGGAAATGGAAACTACTATATTCTAGGGTTATATAGGGGTATAATATATTGGGGTTATATAGGGATGATGGAAAAAACATGAAAACTACTAGAAAGGGTTATACAGGTTTTGGGTTCAGAGTTTAGAGTTTAGGGGGGGGTTCTACAGGGCTTCGGGCGGGGGCAGAAGCGAAGAAGAGCACAAACGGCCACTGAAGTTGTTGCTAAGGATGCAAGGAGCACCATTGCCATGTGGCTGGTAGCACTAAGCAGTAGAGTGGAAAGCGGCCATTGCAATCGTAGTTGGACTTCGATTGGGCACTAAGGGTCTCAGGAATCCGGAGCTCGGTACTAGCCATGTCGGCTTCGTAGAAAGCTTAAGTGGAACATTAAACGACTGTATACACCTTACTAAACCCTAAACCTTAACCCATAAACAGGAGGGCATTGGATGGCCCTTAAACCATTAAACCTCCAAAGTTCGCGAGAAGGCGCAACCCAGAGCCCTGGAAGGATCCAGCAGATAGAACCCGCCATATACTAAATTCGACAACGACGACGACTACTACTACTACGCCTACTACTACTACTTGACGATTTCCACCCAGGGGTCCGGGGTGTAGGTTTTGCGAGTCGGGTGTTGCGGTGACAGGATTCAAGTCTTTACTTAGGATCAGCCCTCATATCGTGACACAGCCTGAGCCTTGTTCAAGCTTTGTTATGCCGGCCATTACCTCGGGTTAGGCCTATAAACTTTAAGAACATTGTGGTTGCTTTTTAGAACATGGACACAGCCGCCTCAGGAAAAAATGAGCGGAACCATTGCAGCTACCTCTGGCGACCTGGGATCCTAAATCCGTCGTATGCGAGTTTCCTGCTCCAATCTGACATAGGGGTATTCCTCTAAAATTGTGGTCCTTCTATTGAACCCTCATGAAATATCGGTACTTTCCACAAATAATCTCCCACTGTACACCCTCAAATTAAACAATGATAATTTCGGAACAGCTCTCCCACAAGAAGAGTAACAGACTACCAAGGACATCGACACGGCCGTCGTAAGACGAGCGCTCCCTAGCATAACCATCATAACCCCCAAATCTTGGAACCAGCAAATGAAAGTCCACACGAGGGCTTTCCAACACCGAGACTCCAAAAAGGAACGTGCAGATAAACACATCTGAAATCCCCATTTTGCAGTAGAAATTCTACATCAATATCAGTCTAGGGGCATATGACGCAGGGATGTAGGAGCTGCAGTTTAAAAGAATACCGCAGTCGCTGGCCAGAATTGCAATGACTGGCCTGGAGACTTCAGGACATCCTAACAACTCACCAAGCTAGGAGCTTCAGGTTAAGGATATAGGGTTCAGGGGTTTAGGGTTGAGGGGCTTAGGATGGTCTCTGGCTCAGGATTCAGGGCTGGCTGAGAGTTTAGATTGTAGTGGTTCGGGGCTTTGGGCGCAACGTTTGGAGACCCGAGACACCCACAATGAAGGAATGACGGGGATGATGGGGTTAGAGCCATCAATTCCTATGTGGCTGCGGGTCGACGTACTGATGCTCACTTGAGGGGAACTTAGAGTTAGGCCGGCAAAGAGAGGGTAAAGGCCTACATCACCTGTTCCAGAATCTTAGGCAAAAAATCCACATGGGGCTTCCAGAAATGGAGGGCACCAATATGGCCCCTACTTCTGGAAGAAAGGCTGTTGCGGCAAACCCCCCAATATAACCCAATGCACTATAGTACTTTCCATGTTATTTTCCATTCTCCCAAACCCTAAACCTTATATAACCCCATTGTAGAAGTTTGCATTTTCTTTTCCANNAAAAAAAAAAAAAAAAAAAAGACTCCAGCCTATCGTTCTCGGCAGCCTTTCCAGCACCGCTGGCCAGGGATGCTACAGAAGCCGGTGCTTTCAAGAGGCTGCGATGCCCCAGGCACAGAAACCTAGGAGGTTATATTGGGGTTACATTGGGATTGTATTCGGGTTATATTAGGGGTTATCTTCGGAGTATACTAGGGGTTATAGTAGGGGTTGTATTATGCAGGCCACATTTTCTGAACGAGGTTTCGGGTCTGGAAGATCAGTGTAGGATTTATGCTGCTAGCATTATTGTTATTCGTACTATTAATATCAGTATTGTTATTGTCATTACTAATATGCTCAGCAAGAGTTTTTCAGCAAGAGTTTTGCCGAGCTACGAGGCTGAAAGTCAGGCTTTGCATCCCACGTCTTCGGTTCAATTCGAATTCTCCATTATCCCCAAAACCTAAACTATAAATCCTGTATAATATATCCCCTGTATTGAGAATTATTTTAGCCTTATAGTATTCAACACTGAGTTTAAGCCCGAAACCCTATAGTATTCAACACTGAGTCTGAAACACAGGCAGCCAAAACAGGCTCGCCAGCGCTGCCCCTGCGGCAATGCCTCAAGGCAAGGCAGCTCTGAGGCATGAAGTTCTGGGATTAAGGTCTAGGGTTCAGGGTTTGGGGCTTGGGGTTTTTGGGTTGCAGTTTCGGGTTTTGGGGTTTAGGTTGAGGGTTTGGGGTTTTGGGTCCATGGTTGTGGGGTTTGGTTTAAGGTTTAAGTTTTTGGGCACTAGGGTTCAGAATTCAATGTTCAAGATGTGCTACACCCGCTCCCTGAACGAAGCCAACCACCGTTTCCTGTTGATCACGTGCATAAGACGGGGACTTTAGGGCTTCGGGATCGCGGCATGATTTAAGCCAACCCCAGACCCTAGACCCTAAACCTAGACCCCAAACCCTGAACCCTAAAGCCTACACCCTAAACCCTAGACCCGGAACCCTAAACCGTAAAACCTAAACCCTAGACCCGAAACCCTCAACCCTAAACCCAAAAACCTAAACCTTAGACCCGAAACTCTGAACCCTAAAGCTTAAAACCTAAACCTTTGAAAGGTAGGGCTTCAAGATGTTTAGGGAAACGCCCTTAATTACCGCGTCGATGCTGGCAGTTGCTGTTGTTGCTCCTTCTATGACTGGGTTGCTTTTAAGGAACTTAAATCAAGTTACCATAATATGGATACATAGGGTTGAGGTTTTAAGGTTTGAGCTACCATAATATGGGTATATACTACATGATAGGATTTCCTGTGTATGGTGTTAGGTCCTGACAGCAACCCAAATGAGAGGGTCACAGCGTGTACGAGCGATGTTCGCTGGGTTCTACAGGCGCTGCTACTATAAGAGGATTTCTCAGTCTGGATTTTGTTGAGGGAGGGGGAGGGCCTAAAACACAAGGAATACAGCTATTCCATGTTTCCGATGGTCATCCAGTCCGAAAATGTCAGGCAGTGCACGAGCGCGACCACGCAGGTTCCCTACATATCAAGAACAACCCCAGCATGAATCTGACAAGAGATTTGCTTCTAGTCTGCATCTACCACTCAGGATCTTTAGCCTCTGGATTGACTCGCACAACTGCAAGACCTCTAGGACACCTAGAGTAAGATCATGGTGAGAAAATGCCAGAAGACGGAAAATATCCTGCCGCCTGGCACCCGCGGCTCGCTCATATTTCGGTAACCTGGCAAAACAGCAATAGGGAGATAAGGCTCAGAAGCACCTTCGGCGCTTGAGCCGAACGAGGACCACCGCCGCCCCTCATCCGCACCAACATCACCACTACTAGCACCCCACCGTCGCAACTGCCGCCACCGCCGCCACCACCATCACCACCACCATCACCACCACCATCACTCCTCCTCCTTCTCCTCATCGCAGCCTCCCCTGCTATGACTGTCAAACTTGCTGCTTTGCCCTTCTGCTTCAACTTCTACTATGAATTCCAAGCAGTCCCTGAAGCCTCGAGTCCTCCACAGCTCCCCGAGGCGCCTGGGTCCTCAGCCTCCGCACGTTGCGGCCGCAGCATGCCACCCATCCTTTCGCGGTAGCTGTTGGGGAGGATTTATCTTCCTGGTCGCCCCAAAGGGACACCAAAGATGTGGGTGGTTGTCAAAATTATGGTCCCTTTTTGGGTACCCTAAATATTAGGTGCCGTACTATAATAGGGATCCAAAAAGGGACCATAATTCACCAACCTTCCTGAGGAACCAAATCTACACCCAACAAAGCCATGCATACCAAAACCCAAACTTCTTGACCTAGGGTGTAAAAAGACGATTTTATAGATTGTAAGCCTTGGCACGTATGGAAGGCTCTTGAACTAAAAGGGTCTTTCCGGTTAGGAGGGGCATATGAAGTAGCTGCCGTCTTGGGCAACTTCTATGTATTTTAACCCTTCATAGTGCATGGTTACAGCAATTGAGACTCAATCTTAAGCAAAGCTTCGCAAAACAACATCCTACAGTAGCCCTTCAGCCCATTATACCTACCCTACGAGGCTTAAGCCCACAACCATACCCTACAACCCCCCATTGTAGGAGAACAAACCCTAAACTCAAAAGCCCAAAACCCAGACCATAAAACCCTCAGCCGTAAACCCGCCAATAGAACCCTGCGCAGCTTTTGCATCCAAGCTGCGGCCCCTTTCGACTGCCAGCGTGCCAAAGGCTGTATGCTTTCAAAGGAGTTCCTACTTTTGTTTCGGGTTTCGGATTTATGGTTTATGGGTAGTACTTGTGTTTCGAACCATAGTTATTCGTCTCTAGTTATTTTTTTTCGTATGTTGCTGTCTCTGCTGCTGCTTGTTGGGCCCTCATAGCTTGGCCATTGCACCTTCTTTGCCGCCGGCGTTTTTGCTTCACGCTTCTATAAGGTTGATATTGGGGAAGTCTGCGCATTGAGCTGGATGCGTGCTAGAGTATGTCCACTTGTCCATGTTTGTACCGAAAAAAGGTGTATTCTCTCGCACAAAAAGATGGGACCAGCGCCAATATTGCACATCAACCCCCGATTCAGGTTAAGGCTTGCATTCCTGGCTTTCCATGGCCATCCCTTGTGGTCGAGGCTGGTGGTGGCCAGCCGTGCCAGCGGCTGCGGAAACGGCAAGTTACGGCTGGGACAACAAACACAATGTCTGGCTGTTGCAATGGACGCGAGAAGACCACAGCATGCCTTGTACCAAAGCAAAATGTGAGGAACTAACGTCGGACCGCGCAAATCTAGCTATTAATCATTAGGTCTCTCCAGGTCGAAGCCCTATACGTTTCAGGATTAGGACGCGAGGCTTGAGTTCAAGATGCTCCCCAAACTCGATGGAAGCATGCTAAAAAATCCGACAAACAAACTGAAGTACCTTTACAGGCAATCTTAAGCCTTTAATCATCTGAAGCAACACCACAACAATTGTAACAATGGCTGCCGGCAGGACGACAGAAACTCCATAAGCGACAAAACCGACAAACAACATCAACATGAGTTTTTGTTGGGGGTCTCATTGCAAGGGGGCTTCATGTAAGCAGAACCCGGCCCTGAAGCCTGATGCACCTCCAAGCTGCCCATAACAATTGAAATTACAGCCATAAATTAGAGGTAGATGGGCTGATGTTATTTGCGAGGTCCTGGTAAATCCTAAGCCTTGGGCCTCTATCATCGGGCTAATATGGGCCCCATGCAGTATGTGGGCATGCCACAAATCAAGGCCTTACTACGGACTATTGAGCTCGTCAGGGCTTAGGCCTGAGTAGTTTGCGCAGCTGCATATTCACCATGACATTGCCATGACTCCACTCCCGATGCCCGAAACCATAGACCTTATACTCTGGCCCATAGACCTTCAACACTACGGACTTCAAGACCTCGAACCCGAGACCTGTCAGTGGAACATTAACACAATCAATTTCAAAACCAATAGCCCTGTCCACCTGATAGTGACAACCACCCTCGCCGCGAATGCCAACTATGCTCCACATGTAGATACATGAAAATATATTTGTATGTGTATATATATATATGCATATCTGTGCATGTGCACATATGTGGTAAGCCCCAAACCCTACACTTGGGTAATTACTCCCTGCACCTAGCAACAGTCTTTAAGAGCACAACAGTCCTGACGTCGGGGATTGTCAGACATACGGGGCTTAGGTGTTGTTTAGGGTTTAGAGTTTAGGCCTTAGGGCTTAGGGTTTGCCGTGATATAGCGCTGAAGCACAGATAGTCATGCCACAAGGTCACTTCGAGCATGTCGTGCCGTGCGACATGCTGCTTTGGCCTTACCGCAGCTGGCCATCTAACACATTCACCCACCCCACGCCGTCCCAGGCGGCCAAACCACCCAAACCTATTCCTATTCGGGTTTAGGACCTAAACTCAGTAGGGTCCATGTTGGTCAACAACACCACACATTTCTATAGCCAAGCTTCTGGCTTCCGAAAGGCCTGGAGGCACATGGCCTCTCGTGGGTGCTACCGTACCCCTGGCTGTAGGAAGGCAGGCGAGCATGCTTGATCGACCTGCGCCATCGATGTCGAGAAACTTAAGCGCCGCCCACCATCGAAGGTGGGCAGCCATGAGTTTCGGTTTAGAGCTTGGGGCCTGGGGTTTAGGGTTTAAAGATTAAGGTTTGGGGTCTAAGGTTTAAGGTTGGGGGCTTAGGGTTTAGGGTTCCCCAGCTAGAGCCCACACCAAACCCTAAACCCCTAGATATCCCTACACAATTGCTAGGCATCCCCACGTAGCCCCTCTTGAGCCACTGTATCCCCTTGAATTTCTGAAACCAGATACACTAATGTTTCTCAGAACTCTGGTCCCCCTTCGCCCCCCAAAAAAACGTAATCGCCTTCCTAGGATCATCCCAAAAAGGCCGTGACATGGAAGTTTCTCAAAACAGGGGGCCCTTAGAGATCAAATATATGTATACTCACAGATGAGCATCACAAAAACCCTACGGTAGTTGATCAAATTACCAGTCCTCACCAGGGCCATAATGTAGTAAAAAGAAATGTATTCCCAATGGTCCCTTCTTTAAAAGGACCTCTAGATGAGCCCCCCATAAAGCCATCAAAAACTGGGTTGCTGTTAAGGAACTTAAATAAAGTTTACCATAATGGGTATACATAGTAATTAATATGGTTCCACCAATATGGTAACTTAAATTAAGTTCCTTAACAGCAACCCAGAAAACAATCGGCTCCTCACGGTTCCGTGTAGCCTCTGGAGCTGGCTCTGGAAGGCCCTCCCGCTGGGCCAGAGCCTCCGGGAGGGAGGGTTTAGGGTTTAGGGTTTAGGGTTTAGGGATTCTGATACGGGAGCCTCCCAAAAAGAAGTCACGTTTACATGTAAGGGATGTCTAGGAACATTACCTCAACTATGGGGGATCCAATAGAAAATTGAAAATGAAACGTAAACTTGGTTTATGCAGAAGTTTATAGGGATTAGGGTTTCTAAGAATTTGATCTTTTGGGATGGTTTCTTTCAGTAGGGAGTCTATGTGGTGTCTACATTGGGGTCCCCCTTGTCCATTGAAACTTCCATGTGAATGTATCTGTGTTAGGGTCGAAGCCACGGCATAAGGCTAAAAGTTTTCAACTAGAAGACTCAAGAGACTTAGTTAGAAAATTATAAGCAGGGCTGCCCATAAATCCCCAGACCTAAACCCTAAATCTTAAACCCTAAACCCTAACCCCTTTGAGGCTTTAGGCTTGGAGTTTAGGGTTAAGGAATGAGAGGGGTAGGCTTGTGCCCAGCCCTACCAAACGGGGTATGGGTTTGGCGCTTAAGCAAACTGGTGGTTAGTAGGGATCAGAGCGGCCTAAGTTCATACGAAGGGTTTCCAAGTCCCATATACCATTCAGGCCCTAGTATTTGGAGCCTAAAAGGCCTGATATTTCGAGAATAGGGTTCAGGATTGTCAAAGAGGTTGTATAAAGGGGAAAGGAAATCGAAACTACGGTTTTATTAATTTAGGGCTTGCCCCCCACCCCTACACCCTAACACACAATGGCAGTATATCGGTGAATAATTCATTATCAATTGGGGTCGGGGTGCACTATCTGGGGGACGGAAGTACTAGCTGTTTCTCATCTGGGGTAATGCGAATCCGCTTTGCGATTGCATTCCGCTTTGGCCCCCTGCCTCTGCCCAGACCTTACACTCCGCCATTTTTGTATTCTTTTGTCGAAGTTGGCAACCCTAAACCGGCGGAGAATTTTTTCCATAGATGTGGCTCACCCCTGTTTTTTCATAGGTGTGGCTCATCTATTTTTGTGGGGGGAGAGGGGGGGGGCACGCTCATCCTTGTGACTGTTGACACGTTGGCACGCCAAAAAGATATGAGAGCCAAAAAACGTTGACAGTTACGAGGATGGCGANNCCAAAAAGACATGAGAGCCCAAAAATGATGACAGTCACAAAGATGGCGACCGCAACCCGCCTGATTCGTGTGACTGTTGACACTTCTTACACGCAAAAAATGCATGGGAGCTCAAAAATGATGACCGTTACGAGGATGGCGACC